GACCTCGGCTCTGTTGGTGCAACCCTATGGCTTGCACTCGGCTTGTCGTCCTTGTTTGTGTGTGTGCATGCATGGCATGGAATGAATTGTGAGTCTATGTCATTGCTATCCAGTGCTTGTGTGTGTGTTTGAATGGTGTATCACAATGTGGTTTGTGTCGGTCAAGACATTAGCGAGTTTTTACAACTCGCATGTCAAGTCGTCGTTTGTGTGTCGCATGTGTTTTTTCTATTTTGTCGAGTATGAAGTGTCCATCGTGTCGCAGATGTGTGCAGCAAGCCCCCATCAACTCAAGAAGAATTTATCTTGCAGATCCAGGAACAAGAGCTCAAGATTTCAAGCCCAAGGGACGCGGATAAATATTTAAATAGTGAAAATAGTAACGTTACTTCGTATAGTGTTACATTTCACTTGGTGTAGCCCCTTGGAGGGTTGGTTTCGAGACTCTTCATGGTTGGGGACTCTGTGGTGGTGTACCACCAATCTGGACCTTGGCTCTTGGGGTATGTAGAGGCTAAGAACCATCTCCCTCTCGAACTCTTTTTGCTAAGTTTGTACTCCTAAGTCTATAGTGGCTGCTGTACCTCTTGCCAGTCAAACCGCCATAGCGTCGTCAAATCTTCATGGAACTTTATGATTCAACTTGCTGCTGATAGACGACATCAACTCGCTCCAGATCCAATTTACAGATCACCGTTTGATTCAGTGACCAGATCGTTATCAATATTTGAAACCGTCTGACGGAAATCCGACTGTGCTCTCTATCTCTCATTATAGGCACATCTAAGCCTATTGTGATTATAACAAGTGGTATCAGAGCCCCTTGGAGCTGTCTCGACCATGCCTAGGCCTGAGGAAGGGGGTGGCAGAGGTGTTGGAGGCAGAGAAGACGCCCAAGCACAAGGTCAACACCAAGATCCACCCGTTGCTCCGGTGCAACCTAGCCTTGGACCCTCTAGGGATGAGCCTAGAGTGTTTGGCCTTGACAAGTTCAACGGTGACAACTTTGCTGAGTGGTCTTTCAAGATGGAGAACATATTTGACCACTATGATCTGCTGGAGGTGATGGAAGGAACGGAGAAGCGCCCCGAGAACGACTCGGAGAAGAGCCCGTGGGTGCGGAAGAGCGCACAAGGCTACCTTCTACTTGGGCAAGCATTGGGGAGCAGCCAAATCCGTCACATCAAGCCTTTTCAGCGTGAACCAGCAAAGGGACCAAAGGCATGGGCTGCTCTCAAGGGTGTACACGCTCCTGCAACAGCGGCGGTGGCTGTGGTTTTGGAGCGGCAAATGGCGGCACTTCGAATTGACGAAGGCGAACCGGTGGAGGAAGGAGTGCAGAAATTCTTCGACTTGTTGACACGGCTCGAAGGAGCTGACCTGAACTACAGTGACCTTCAAAAGAAGACCAAGCTGCTGGCCTTACTTCCGGACTCATGGTCCTCGCTCATCATCAACCTTAATCGAGATCTGCCCCGTCTCTCACTCGAAGATGTGAAGCGGGAAATCTTACAAGAAGATTTCCGCCGACGCGAATTGGCGGGTCCCGATGGTGCCGGAGTTGCAAGCATGGGCCGTGGGCACGGCCGTGGAAGGGGCAGAGGGCGAGGAGGAAGATTTGGCAGCAGTAACTTCAGTGGAGGCCGTGGTAATGGAGGATATGGCAGCAACAACAACAACAATGGCTACGGGCGTGGGCGCGGTCGATTTGATGGCGAATGCCACTTTTGTCACAAGACCGGCCACATGTGGAGAGATTGCTTCAGATTGCCTGATGGATGGACCCCTTCTCAAGGCCAAGAGGGCAGAGGAGCAAGCGGAGGAAGAGGCAGAGGTCGTGGAGGCTGTGGTGGCCGTGGAGGCGAAGCGGCAAGCATGAAAGGTGGAGACTACGACAAGGACTCGAGTGAAGATCGATACCCGGGCCAATTCTTCTTTGTCTCCACGCAAGCGGCAGCTGCAGCAGGAGGTGTGGAAGGCTTTGAGGAGCCAGCTACTGTGGGAAAGGTCACCCTTCACTCTCTGGACTTTTGGGTGATCGATAGCGGCGCCACCTATAGCATGACACCTCGTGCGGACTTGCTCACCGAACTCGAACCGTCGCCGGTCAAGCATGTTACATCGGCTTTGGGGCAGCGAGCAGAGGTGAAAGGCATGGGCAAGGCCATGTTCAAGGGTGCTGATGGGAAGATGGTGGGCCTCAAGAACGTGCTTTGGGTGCCCAACCTAGCAGCCAACCTGATTTCCGTTCGGCGTTTGCAAAAGGCCGGCATGGACACATCTTCCAAGGGTTCGAAAACATATACCGCGAGGCTTGGTGAGCGGAAGCTTTGGGACCTTGATGAGGACAGGGACATCTACAATGAGATGTGGCAAATCCCAGTGGTCCCCATGCCTAAGGAGAGGCAAGTGGCAGCAAGCGTCAGCACCAAGAGTGAAGCGGTTGGTGGCGGTGATCACGGAAAACAAAGTGACACCAAGAGTGACTCGAAGGAGTGCAACCTTGGAGAGACCAGCAAGGCGTGTGAACCCAAGGAGAGTGGTGCAGCAGCCAAAGGTGGTGGAAATGAGGAGGGGAAGCCTAAGATCAGCAAAGCAGCAGCGGCGAATGAGAAAGGAGAGAGCTTGTGGGGCACGATTGCGAGTGTCGCTTTCTCCAACCCGACTTCCGCTACGGGAGAGTGTGATTGGCTTACCTTGCATCGGCGAATGGGGCATGTGGCATTGCCCATTTTGCAGCAGATAGTTAAGCAAGAGATGGTCAGTGGGATACGTGTCAAGGGGGAGCCCAATGAGGTGCTTGGCTGTCCAACATGCATGCAAGCCAAGTTCACCCGCTACCCGTTCCATAGCTCCGAGACAACGGCGAAGGCACCACTTGATGAGGTGGTGATGGATGTGGTGGGCCCCTTGAAGCTTGGAGCTGCTGGAGCTGAGTACTTCCTCACCATTGTGGACGTCTACACTCGCATGACTTGGGTGTATGTGCTGCCGAAGAAGAGTGATGTAGCTGAAACGGTGAAGACCGATTGGTTGCCGATGGTGGAGCGGCAACAAGACCGGCTTGTGAAGGCAATTCGCACTGACCGTGGGGGAGAGTTCCTGAGCAAGGATTTCTCAACTTGGCTGAAGAAGCAGGGCATAAGGCACTCTCTTACCATGCCCTACTCTCCTGCAATGAACGGCATCGCCGAGCGTGCGAATCGGACACTCACGGAGACGGCTCGGGGACTTCTCATTGAAGCCGGTCTTCCCAATTACTTTTGGCCGGATGCGGTGCGGCATGCTTGTGTGGCCAAGAACAGAGCCTTGACTCATGTGGGAGAAGACAAATGGGTGCCCTATGTGGAGTGGATTGGAAGGAAGCTAAAGGTGGATATGCTTCGGGTGTTCGGGTGCATGTGCATGGCACTTGTGCCTAAGAAACTTCGGCACAACAAGCTTGATGCCAAGGCAACATGGGCCGTGCACCTGGGCATGGCTCAAAACAGCAAGGGATGGCTTCTATGGGACCCATTTACCAAGAAGTTCTTGGTGAGCCGAGATTGCAAGTTCATGGAGAACTTACCGTACAAGGAGTGGAAGGCGGAGAACCAAGCGAAGATTGGTGTGCGGCTTGGAGGGTGAAGAGTAACGGCTTGGAGCATGTGGAGCTGCCCTTGGAGCTGAGTAGCAGCAGCACAGTCACGAGGCAATCTCCTCAAATGAATGGGGATGAGGAGGAGGAGGAGGTGCAGCAAGGTGATGAGCGTGCACCGTCACTTCTGCCTCGTGCTACAAGTGCTCGTGGGAACCGACCAGATTTACCGCAACGCCATGAGAGCATTCAAGTCCCTGCAGCAGAAGAGGAAGGAAGGGGGAGAAGGAGGACTCAGCCCCCTAATAGGTTGAGCTATGATCGGCTTGGAGGACCAGCCAACTCAACCTTGACCGGTTCGGCTCTCATGCTAGACGATGATGCGGAAGATGAAAGCGAGGAGTGCACCTTTGCCTTCTTCTCTCCGGTGGAGATGCCAGGGGAGCCTACAAATCCCAAGGAGGCTTAGGAGGGCCCCAATGGGAAGGAGTGGAAGAAGGCCTCAGATGAAGAAATGGGGAGCATCATGGAGAACGACACGTTTGACTTGGTGAACTCCGGGGCGTAAGGCGATCTCTTCCAAGTGGCTCTTCAAGCGCAAGACCGACGCCGACGGCAATATCGAGCGCTACAAGAGCAGACTTGTAGCCAAGGGGTATGAGCAGCAAGAGAAGAAGGACTACAATGAAGTGTATGCCCCTGTGGTGAAGGGTACAACCCTTCGAACCCTCTTCGCCGCGGCGGCCATCAAAGGATGGGTGGTTAAGCAAATGGATATTGTAACGGCCTTCCTCAACGGCGTTTTGGAGGAAGAAACCTACATGGAGCAGCCAGAGGGGTACAATGATGGGAGTGGCAGAGTGTGGAAGCTGAAGAAAGCACTCTATGGCCTCAAGCAAGCCCCTAGGCAATGGTACATCAAGCTGCGGGAAGTCTTGGAGGCGATCGGCTTCACTCCCTCAACGGCCGATCAATCCTTGTTCATGCTTGGCGAGGGGGAGCAGAGGAGCTTCATGGTGGTTTATGTGGATGACATCCTCATATTCTCACCCTCCTCTGACCTTGTGAAGGAGGTGATGCTGAAGCTTCAACACAAGTTCAAGTGCAAGACCCTTGGTGACGTCAACTACTACCTTGGGCTTCACATTGAGCGAGATGTGGAGAAGCGGTGGATGCGAGTGCATCAAAAGAAGTACTTGGAGGCCTTGGCTACAAACTTTGGGAAGAGTGAAGGTCATGTGGCTACTCCTCTTCCCTCAGGGTTCAAGTGTGTGAAAGGACCAGCGGAGGAAAGTGTTGGTGAAGAGGAGAGGCGGCGTTTTCACTCCTTGGTGGGCAGCCTCATGTATGCGGCCGTTCACACAAGGCCGGATGCAGCCTTTGCTACCGGGCAGCTGGCTAGGGTTGTCCAATGCCCTAATGAAGAGCAGGTAGCAGCTGGAGAGAGAGTGGCCAAGTACCTTGGCCAAACAGCAACTGTTGGACTGCAATACTCCGCGGCGGCACAAAGGCGTCAAAAGGGGGCGGATGGAGTCGAACCCGGGAGGCTCTTTCTCACCGCCTTCTCTGATGCATCTTGGGCATCAGAACCAGAGGACATGACAAGTGTGGGAGGCTTCATCTGCTGTGTTGGTGGAGGCCCAACAGCTTGGGAGAGCAAGAAGCAAGTGGACCAAGCATTGAGCTCGGTGGAGTCCGAGTACATGGCACTCTTCCGTGCCATAAGAGAGGTTGTGTGGCAGCGGCGTTTGCTAGCTGAATTGGGGGAGGAGCAGCAAGGACCTACCCCACTCTACTGTGATAGCCAGGGTGCTATTGCATTGGCTAAGAACCCGGTTCTTCATAGCCTTACCAAGCACATGAAGGTGAAGTGGCATTGGGTGAGGAGCATGGTAACCGCGGGTGAAGTGGAGTTGCACTACGTGAAGACGACGGCGCAGCCAGCTGATATGATGACCAAGAGGCTGGTTGAGCAGCAGCATTGGAAGTGTTGCAAGCTTGGTGGGATGGCTCTGAACTAAGGGGAGCAGATTCTAAGGCCAACAATCCGAGGCGGAGTTTGTTGGTGCAACCCTATGGCTTGCACTCGGCTTGTCGTCCTTGTTTGTGTGTGTGCATGCATGGCATGGAATGAATTGTGAGTCTATGTCATTGCTATCAAGTGCTTGTGTGTGCGTTTGAATGGTGTATCACGATGTGGTTTGTGTCGGTCAAGACATTAGCGAGTTTTTACAACTCGCATGTCAAGTCGTCGTTTGCGTATCACATGTGTTTTTTCTATTTTGTCGAGTGTGAAGTGTCCATCGTGTCGCAGGTGTGTGCAGCAAGCCCCCATCAACTCAAGAAGAATTTATCTTGCAGAACCAAGACCAAGAGCTCAAGATTTCAAGCCCAAGGGATACGGATAAATATTAAATAGTGAAAATAGTAACGCTACTTCGTGTAGTGTTACATTTCACTTGGTGTAGCCCCTTGGAGGGTTGGTTTCGAGACTCTTCATGGTTGGGGGCTCTGTGGTGGTGTACCACCAACTTGGACCTCGGCTCTTGGGGTATATAGAGGCTGGGAACCATCTCCATCTCGAACTCTTCTTGCTAAGTTTGTACTCCAAAGAGAATAGTGGCTGCTATACCTCCTGCCAGTAAAACCGCTATAGCGTCGTCAAATCTTCATGGAATTTCATGATTCAACTTGCTGCTGATAGACGACAGCAATGCGCTCTAGATAGAATTTACAGATCACCCTTTGAGTTAGCGAGAAGATGGTTATTTATATTTGAAGCCGTCTGGCGGAAATCCGACTGTGCTCTCTATCTCTCAATTTAGGCACATCTGAGCCTATTGTGATTATAACAGTCCTGCCCTGTTTGGTGTGTCTCACGTCACTCCCTTCTTGTCGGATGTCCCGGTGGAGGATTCAGCCAACTCCGGGGGCCCTGCGGCTTCGATCTCGCCGCTTGTCTCCGCCCAGGTGTCTCCTCCTCCGCCCCTGCAGCTGTTGCCACCGCAGCCGCAGCTGCCGTCGCCACCGCCGCAACAGCAGCTGCCACAGGGGTCCTCGAGCTCTAGGGGTGCGGGCGATGAGGTGGGTGCTATTTCTGCTTGTATTGTTGTGGCCTGTCCCCGCTGTCCTGGGGGTGGCATCGGTGCTGGTGAGGGTTCTCGTTCTAGGGGTGCTATCGTGGAGCTTCCCGGAGGTAGCCATGGTGCAGCTGAAGGTTCTGGTGTTAGTGTGGAGCAGCACAAGCAGCGGTCGCCGCCGGTGTCTGACATTCGCCTTCTTTATCTTCTGACATCTCGTATTCCCCTCCTTTTGTCGCCTCCTCCGTCCTCGCTGGTTGTCGCTCTGCATCCCCTGTCTAACTTCCTCCTTGCCGCTAGTCCTCTTGTTCCTGGGGTCCTCGCCTCTCTTCTAACCGACCCTTCTGTTCTTGTCTCCAGTCTTGACGCTCTTATAGCTGCCGTCACTGACTTTGCCTCTACCAGCCGCCTTGACTACGCCACTACTCTGGTCTCTAACCCTGCCCGTCCTCCGTCCGTCGGGGGTGCACCTGCCCTTGGCAGTGACGTCCAAGAGGACTGGCACTACGAGCTTTCTTTCGTGTCTGAGGCCGCGCCTCATCTCTGCTCCATGCTGCTAGTCCCTGAGGGTGACCTAGATGCCTTTGACATCCCAACCCCTCGCAAGTGCTCTGAGGCGACCTCGGGACCCTGGACCTCTCAGTGGATAGCTGCCATGAACGTGAAGATGGCATCTTGGAGATCCACCGGCACCTACGTCGATGCAGTTCCCCCACCTGGGGTGAATGTAGTCGCTGGCCCGTGACTCTTCAAGGTGAAGCGCCTTCCTGGAGAGCCGCCGGTGTTCAAGACGCGCTACGTTGCTAGAGGCTTCAGTAAGTGAGAGGGTGTTGACTTCTTCCAGACCTTCGCCCCGACCCCGAAGGTGACCACTCTTCGGGCACTGCTACACGTAGCAGCACAGCGTGACTACGAGCTGCACTCTCTCGCCTTCTCGACAACCTTTCTTCAGGGCAGTCTTCATGAGCAGGTCTACCTGCGTTGTCCGCCAAGCTTTACTGGCACCTTCGCCCCGGGGACCCAGTGGCTCTTCCGGCGCCCGGTTTACGGCCTGCGGCAAGCACCTCGAGAGTGGCACGACATTTTTTGTGCTATTTAGCTGACTGCAGTTCTTCCCATCCTCTGCAGACTCTTCGCTCGTCGTTCGTTCAGGCCAGACACTGTTCTTTAGACCTGGTCTTTGTCATTGCAGACAAACATGCACTGGCCTTTGTGAAGGCCGAGCTGCTGAGGAGACACACCTGCACTGACCTAGGAGAGCTGCGCCGCTACCTTGGCCTACAGATCTCCAGGGACAGAGCAGTGCGCACCATCACTCTCACCCAGTCACACTGGTTGCGCCAGGTCTTTCAGAGGTTTGGTCTTCAGTTCTCCTCCACACAGCCCACTCCTTTGCCAATAGATCACATGCTCTCAGCTCCTGTCCCTGAGGAGTCAGTAGAGCCTAGTGGTCTGTACGCAGAACTGGTGGGTTGCCTCATGTACCTGATGACTTACACTTGTCCAGATCTTGCATACCCTCTCAGCATCTTGGGCCGCTTTGTGGCGACAGGCAAGGACCGACCGCAACACTGGTCGGCTGCTAAGAGGGTTTTATGTTATCTAGCAAGTACATCAGGCATGGGGTTAGTGCTAGGAGGACGCAGTCCAGTGGCCGTTACTGGGCACACAGATGCTTCGTGGGCAGACGACGTTGAGACGCTCAGGTCCTCACAGGGCTAGTGCTTTAGCGTTGGTGCAGGTGCCATCTCGTGGAGGTCCACTCACTTGTCGTCTGTTGCCCAATCTAGCAGTGAGGCTGAGATCTACGCTGGTGCCATGGCGGCACAGGAGCTCCACTGGCTGACTTTCTTGCTCACACACTTAGGTGAGTGGCCTAGCTCTGCCCCAGTTTTGTACGCTGACAATAAGGCCATGATCCTCCTGTGTTAGGAGCCTCAACTGAATGGCAGAGTGAAGCACATTCAGCTGCGGTACTTCCTCCTACGCGAGCTACAGCAGCGCCGCCAGACCCGCGTAGTACACTTGGCCTCAGGTGCCAACAAAGCTGATATCTTTACGAAGGCGCTTGCGCCTAAAGATCATCAGTGGCACTGTGTCCAGCCTGGTCTAGTTCCTGTAGCTTCTCACTTCTAAATATTCTATTACCTTCACTGGCCTTGTGGCTCCTGCTCCTGTGGCTGGACTAGTAGTGCTGCCGTGGTTTGCTCTTGTTTAGTTTGTACTCTTGCTAACTGGTCTTGGAACCATTTGCCTTAGAGGTTGGACTTGTAGTGCCACCCTGAGCTGTGTGTCTCGCGCTAGTCGCTGCCCCTTGTCTAGCTTATGGGGTGTGTCAACATATATTCTTTATATATTATAGGTTAGATAGGTGCATGCTCACATAGAGTACAACACCTTAGGTTATATTCCCTTGTACCCCATCATTCTAATCAATTTCTTACTATGAGATTGCACCCCTGCCGGCGGCATGCAAATGTGGCGTTCGTGTCCTCATCGGGAGTGGGATCATGAGTGGAGCCTCCGCCTGGCGCTTCATGCGAGTGGTGCTGTCAGTGGCCGTACCTCCTCTTTCCCCAAGAGATAGTTGGCCATTTGAGGGGAATCTCTTCGGCAGGTATTTACCAAGGCCTCCCACTTGTACTTGTCTTGGCACTTGACCAAGCATCAGTAGAAGAGCCGTGCCACATCCCCATATTTGTGGATGTTATGTTGCAAGTTCTAGGCATAGAAGTAGTGGGGGATCTTCACGTCATGTGTGGTGGGGATCAGCCCCTTGTCGCCATCGCTGATGATGTGAGCATGCACCTATCTAACCTATAAAATGGGGGCACTCCGGATGGGGGCACTCCGGAAAACTTAGGAGCTGATTTAGAAGCCATGTTCAGGAATCCTTGTTCTTGGACTCCACCAACCCACACCAAAATGTCGATCTCCTAATTTCCACCCATGATAATGGCAGTCAGGAGTGTGGCTCGCTGTGCTCTGATGAGGAAAGGCCTGTCCAGAGTGATGATGGGCCAGCTGTAGTGCAAGGCGATCCTGGATGCCAAAAGCTGAACGTACATGTAGTAAGTGCAGCCCTCGCACACCTGAATGATCACCCACCCTTTGGGGTCGTTCTGCCGCGGCTGCTCGGCCAGCCAGGTTATCAACCTGAAGGAATAATGCCACTCGCCAAACAATTCCATCTTGATCACCTCCACCAGTCGCCAAGCCTGCTTGTACTTGATCAGGAAACCACCCTGATGAGAGACAAACTTCTGAATGTCGCATTGCGAAACGAGTGGTGAGGCATGCATGAGATGTTCCCACAATCGTCTCAGCACCCTGACGTTATTCGCCAACTGGGTAGCCCCTGCTTCTTGCTTGCATTTGGAGCAATAGTGAGCGACGTGGCTGTCCAAAGATCCCCGTAGAGGACTCATGAAAAGCTGCACCGCTCATCCAAGAGGCACTGTCTTGGACTGGATGATCACCGTAGACTGCGTACTCTCGAGCGTGGCGATGCCAACGCATAGCTAGAG